TGGAATTACAATCTACCACAACTCTCAAGTTTTACACTTATATTAATCTAAATTAGTGTTTGATGTTGCCATTAAGTTTATTATTATGTTTTCTTTATTAAAGAAAGGTAACCGGTAATGAGCACAGAATGCACACATTGACTGTTGTACATAGGGCGATTTTCAAGGTCACCCTAGCAACTGCTCAGACGACCAATTACATCCCTCGATTCAATAAAAAACTACTCTCCCAGGATGAATATTTAAACCTGATAGGTTATTTCAACAGTTACTTGGGTAGCCTTTAAAGTTACTCTGTACGCAGGTACATTTTCGGTGAACATACGATTTTCAAAAGGGGAGGATTATTGTTCAGAGATTAGGTTTCAAAAGGAATTAATTTAAAATTAACAATACTCACTAGTAGTCTCCTTTGTTTGAAGTCAACCCAAAGCATCTATTGACATTTTGTCCCCTTTTTATCAAGATATATCTTGTTTGAGTTGATTTGAGAACTTCTTAAAATGTCTTCCCTCATATACACTTATCTGTCAGTATTCAACAGCTAGATTAAATTATAAGCTATCCTATGCTGGATCTCAGATACGGAGAGGAAAATTTAGGGCAACTTTAAAGGCTACCCTAACAACTGCCAAAATAACCAATCAGGTTGCGATATTTCAGCTGGGAAGACAGTTTCTCGTAGAATAGAGAAACGTGATTGGCTGTTTCATCAGTTGCTAAGGTAACCTTTAAAGTCATTCAAAGTTTATTGCAAAGGAAAAAGTTAATTACTATCTAAATATCAGTTCACCAAGTGAACAATGTTTAGGTTAAGTGCAGAATTTTACAAAAGTAGCGTAAATCAATTAGTGAATTTATGAACCAACCTATTTGAGAAAAATAACTTCCAAATGATAAAAAGTACATAGGATCAACTCATCAGCTAGTTTCTTGTGAAGTTTGAAACTGGATGGAAAACTGTAGGCTTTATGAATGAATATTACTATTTATTGACATACTTGTTATTCTCCTTTGTTTTGTTGGATCAAACTGTTAGACCTTTATTGGCAACCAAATTGTCGTAATTAACATTCAGGCAATATCGAGGCATCCACACAGGAGCCTATATGCCAATAGAGGTCGAACAATTCGATCCAAAAAAACAACGGAGAATAACAAGTAGGTCAATAAATACTAATAACTACTACCCGTTGTACAAGAAGTGGCTATCGTTACTCCGCGGCATAGTGGATAACGCCTTGGCGTTCGTAGCGATGGGTACGAGGTTCCAGTCTCAGTGGGAACAATATCACTCGCCGGGAAACAGGTACATCCGGCTGACGAGTCCCAAATAGGACGAAACACGCGTCCTGGATTCTTCTCCTAGCCGCAACCAACCAAATTATCACTTATGAATGAAGTCTGCAACATGTAAGATACTGGCAGTGACAGAGATTTCATGCAACAAGACGGTGATTCTCTAAGCTCCAGTATTTAACATTGAGGATACCACTAAGCCTAATAATGAAACGTCCACAAAAATATATCAAACTATCATCAATGTCATCCTGAGCTACAAATCTTTTTTAGTATGTCAAACAATTAAAAAATGATCTTCATAGGGCAGATGTGTTCAATATTTTCGTCTGTAGACAGTAGATAAATAATATCTAATACTTGGCGTAAAACAATATGGTTCTCATGACTTAGTAACTCTGTAGATAACGGTCTACTGTGTGAAGTGATGCTTCTAACCTCAGTAGGAACACTGCCAGTTACTAGGATGTAGGTATATCCAGCTGGCAAAGCGCGCGTCATAGATTCCCCTGTTAGTCACTATAAAACAAATACATAATAAGTACATCATTGCATATTTGTTTTTCCTACTGCTTTATTACAACTATTACTATCACTATAAATTATTCTTCTCTTTCACTTTGCTGTTCTGAATCGTCTCAACTTTCCTTCTACTTTCTAAATTATCCGTCTGATAACTTTTATTTGCAAAACTCAGGTATTGACATAAGGAAAATATAAAACATTTCAGCAACATATAATTGGTGCTAGAATTACTATTATTATTATTATTATTATTGGTTGTGTGAAGTAGCCATGGTTTGACAGACTAGTACTGTTACTAAGAGATGATTGAAGGTTAAACAAAAATCTGGACCACGGCCGGATTCGAACCAGTAACCACTAGGTTTCCGGCCTGATACTCTACCAACTGAGCCACAAGGTTCGACTGCTCATCAGATTCTCATTTCATTTCAATCACAAGGCAGAGTTTTGCCTGACTACCATGTGAATTCGTGACACGTTACTATCGCTGGATTGTACGCACACTGGTAGTTGCTGGTTCGAACCCGGCCGCAGTCTAAATTTCCATTTCACCTTCAATGATCACCCAGTAGTGATACTAGAATCTCGATCCGGGATAATTCCCTTGAACGTGGTGAAACATTTTAGTCATAAGAACATTGAACACACAGTTAATATCATGTTTAGTGATTTTCTAACATAAATCATAATCACCTCAATTTTGAATGTCTAATAGTATGAACAGGTTCAACATCAAATCGCTTTTTGTACTTCATAGTCCCTGAATATTAACTAACCAACATCTACCACTGGACGTCTAGGAACTCGATTTTCAACCAGCAGATTATAGGCTCCAACTCATCCGAAATTACCAATCCTGCCACAATAAATTTGCCTCATTGCCTACTATACAAACGTGTTGATGGTTACTGAGTGATTTTTTTCACCATTAAGAATAACCAGTAATTCTAAGCTGATAGCTGGATATTATGATGATCAGTGGTAGTAATGAACAATCTTATTTAAGCATTTTTAAAAATCGCAAACAACCAACCTATAACTGCATATCTTCAAAGTTTAGGAAGTACTTAGAAAAAGCGACTTTAAAAGCCATCCTAGCAACTGCGGAAATAACCAATCACGTTTCAGTATTCCGTCTAGGAAGGTGGTTATTCATAAAACAAAGAAACCTTATTGGTTATCTCAGCAGTTGCTAGGGTAACCTTTAAAGTTACTCTTTAAAAGTCCACATCCGAAATATTGACTGGTAGTCAAGTTGAGAATCTCATTGAAGAATTCCATTGAAATATTTCTTTTAATTTGGTAATCAACACCATTTCCGCACGTGTTTAATAAATATCTAAATTTGAGTTTGTGTTGAAAAAATATCAGGTAGGTAGTCTACGAAATTTAGTTATCATTTAAAAAGACTAGATAAACATTACCTTCGTACTTAGATACACTTATGTCAATTGGAACATGTGAAGTGTGAAAGTGAAACAACTTGGACACTGATGAAAAGTATAGTCTCAGATTAGTTCATTTATTTGAATTACCCTTGTCAAATTTCAAAATTACTATACTACTAAGGTAGTATTCATCATGGAATGATATCAGTTGGAAAATAGCTGAAAAACTGGGAGCATGGAACAGCTGTTTCGTATTGTTCAGCAGTACGCACCCGCAACCCTACCAGCCATAAATAGAACTCAAGACCTTCGATACGAAAAGATCCCTACGAGAAGCCGTGAAGAGAGAATCTGATTCTCGTACACGCCCACGACTTGGCTAGGCATAGAACTCAGGACCTTCAGGTTTCATGGCGAACGCATTAACCATTCAGCCACTGGTTTGGAGTTCAGTGGTTCACAGTTCCCTACTTCTGTCAACTGACGGTATAGCGTGACTGTCACCTAAGGTCTTCAGTTGGTCTCCGCTTCCCTTCCCATTGGTTGACCGAACGAGTCACCGCTTCTCATTAGAGCTTCAGGACATCCATCTCGAAGTATGTTGATAATGAGCATTATTCAGTAATGTATTTTGAGGTCAGTGGGGATTTCATTTTTAAGGTAGTATTCATCACGGAAGTTGGAAGTGAAGCGGATGTCAACTGAAGGCCCGGGATGATAGCCACGCTGTATCGCGATTGGACTGTGAATGGTTAACGCGTTCACCGTGAAAGCTGAAGGTCCTGAGTTCGACCACCAGTCGGGTTGCGGGCGTATACTGCTGGGGAGTCACACACTAAGACGAAACAGATGACCAGTGCTGTCAGGTTTTCAATGATTCTCCAACTGGTGTCAGTCTGTGATGAATACTACCTTAAAAGTGAAATCCCCATTAAACAAGTTTTTCTTCACTTTTTTGGTGTTTCAGTGCTGGTACACATTGTTCATGCACTCGGTCAGTAGGTGTCTCAACTATTTAGCTTAATATTACTTCTATGCTAGGGATTACATCTGGTTTCATCTCAGCTACTGCTACATTAAAATTTAAATCTTTCTCAAGAACTTTGACTTCATTCAAGTTCATTTCTCTGGTGGAGAGATTGATTACCCAATTCATTCAACTGATGGCTGATGGATCTTCATTTGTAGCTTCGTTTTCTTTTGTAGGATATTTTCCTTTCATTAATTAGTTGAACTTTTTCATTTGAGTCTTTTTGGATTTGCTGAAAGCAGCTACTTTGACTTTATTGGATATTTCAACCAGAAGTTCGTAGTCTCTTTGGTTTACTATCTTCATCAGCATGCAGTTTAGAACTATTGAGGATACTTATCAGTCTCTTGGCAATCTTATCCGGTCGTTCTGTCAGACATAGCTTAGTGCTCTTCTCATCGCTACGTCAAATCCAATATGGAAGAGATTGTGAAAATGCAAGTTAATAATCATGTTCGTTAGACCGAATTGATGAGTCTCTATGACCATCACACAAGGAGTGGTTATTTTGACTCAGTGGCCTAGTAGATAACGATCTAGCGTCCGAAGTGACTGGTACCAGGTCCGAGTCTCAGTGGTGGGCAGAGACATCCGACTGACGAGACCAAAATAGGACGAAATATGCCTTCTGGATTCCACTGCTAGTCATTGTTCATCGTTAATTATTTAGGGTGATAGTGTCTACCTACACCATAAAGCAATGTCATAACCGCGCGAAAAGCAATACGCAGAAAATGAGTTAAAATCTGACAACTTACAGCTAAATGAACTCGAGTTTTCCCACGTTATTTCATGTTCTGTTTCATTATTGGCATTAGATCCTCTTTTAGAATTAGATTGCGTTTTATTTGCCTCTGATTGTCTCATATCCTGGTGTAAGTTGACATAAGATGGGCAAGGTATAGCAGTTTCCTTTAGACGTAATCTTTTGTGACCGACTACCATAAATTCAGAACGAATGTCTCGTTCAAAATCGTCATATTTAAAGTGTTGGGAACAAACACGTGAATGCTGAGATGGAACAAACTCCTTTCGACCACAGGCTTTAATCCAAGATGCTGTCCGAGCAGCATCTCTACGAGGAAATCGGAAAAAGCTGAGACCACGTCCATCGTCAGTACGATTGTGACAACCAGCGAAACAACACTGAGGCATAGTTATAATCCCAAATATAGTGTTCTGGTAGACTAAGACGAGAGATACTGGATATTTCTTTTATCGATAGGTTTGTTTTATACATTAAATATTCGATGATTAAAATTCGGAAATATAATATGTACGTAGTAAGCAAAAGAAAGAAAATAACAATGTAATGAACTCAAATATTTTTTGTTCGGGCCTCTTAATTCACGAGTAATTTAGTGGGATAGACAACCTATCAGTCAGTCAGACAATGATGACGTGGGGAAAATACTGGTCTGATGTCATTTCATCCTATGTGTCCTAAAAATCAGTGGCCCAAATCGATTGGTTATGAAAATGTAGGTCGAACAGTGGGTGGTATACAGACATGAACGAAAATTGTTCGACGGACAGGTATTTTCTATCTTCCTCTCATTGGGCCTCTGTGACCTCATCGAATAATGTTACAGCTCAAAATCAATCCAGTTGTCTTTTTCTACCACCCTACTTTCTATCCCATCTCTCTTCTTCCCTTAAAATCCAACTAGTAAAATGCGCCTATTTGTTTGGGCCCGTAAATAAGGTCAAATATAGACGACCTCTATGCGAATTTCTCAAATAGGCATTATTTGGCATTATCAGCCTATAAATAAGAAACAATGATGAAGTCTGAGGCCAATTCAAGAAATTAGTCAGTGAATTCGGTTCAGTCTGCGGTAATCAATGAGAATCGCTCAGACAGGTTTGACCTTACCTACTACTTAGAACTGTGGTTCTCACATATTGAAGTAATCGGAACAAAAAGTTTTGTGTAATTCTCTAAATGCATAAAAGTCCATCAAAAGAATAAAATTCGAATACACCATGATGTATGAAAGTAACTTGGCAACAAGCAGTCATTCTTTATTCCCTACTCTGTAGATTTTACTCCATCCGGTAAATAAAATAAGTGTATACTTGGGATTCTTAATGTGTAATAGAAGTGTGAACTTTCTGATGAAAACAAGGAATTTCGAGCTAGTATTCGTCATGGATTCACTTCGGTTGGAGGACACATTAGAAACCTGAGAGCACTAGACAGGTGCTTCGTTCTAACATATGACTCCTCAGTACTGCACACCCACGACCCCGCCAGTGATCGAACCCAGGACCACCAGGTTCTACAACCAGCACTTACCATTGAGCCATTGCGATGGAGTCCAGGTGTCCATAGTTTTCAACTTCCGTCAGTTCACAGTGTCAGTCCATGATGACTACCAATTTGAAATCAACAGATCCCTACAAACACAAAATGGAAACAAGGAAGACCAATATAACAAGCAACTTGGTTGAATCATTCGAGTTTCAGTTTTATAGTCCTCCATATCGAGGTGGTTATTTGTCATCTAGCCATTCAGTCAGGAAAATTAACCATTTACTATAATAGTCGTAGTTTGCAGACTCTTGAGAAATTGCTTCACTTTATTATCTAGGAAGTGGTAGGACAGGCTAATAACTTGATACAAGTTGACTGAATTTCAAGGGTTATGTGGCATTTACTCGAACTGCAAACAGAAAATGATGGTTCTTACTAATATATCACTGACAAGGGTATTACAGCTAAGCAAGAGGTTTTCAAGATTGCATTACCTCGACCGCTATCTCATTCAGGCAGTATGTCATGATAAGTACTTACTACAAAATGTGATGGCTATGTGTTCATTGAATTTCACCTGCTTAACTAGTTCACTAGTTACTAGCCGGTCCTAAACCGCAGCAAAGAGGGAAGGTTGGGCATACGGCTAGCAACCATACCCCGTAAAACAAATATAACCGCAAGAGAAACTTCAAAGCACAAAGAAAATATAAAAAATCAAAACAAAATTATTCCTCACTGGAATCAGAAAGACGAAATGACGCCGCTTGCTGAAAGCCTTTGGGAAGTCAGTCAGCCGATTTGTCTTCTCCCTCTCAATGAAAGCGAAAGTAGGATAGGAACATGGAATGTCTGCACCATGTATGAACCTACAAAGGCTACCCATATTGCAAAAGAGATGAGGAGGTGTGGCGTGGAAGTGATAGGCTAGGAATCTGCGAGGAATCTGCAGATGGGATGGAAGTGCACTCTCCAAACTGTCAAATGGACAGTCAACAACCTACTCCGACAGTGTCACCCAGACGACAACCACGAACTCACTGAGTTGTGCAGTGACTATCATGATGTCTCCAAGATCATCGAAGGCTCTCATGCAGTGGGAACCAATCTCCTCCTGCAGCATCAGAATCATGACAGCAAGATTCAAGTCAAAATGAAGGAAAGTCACTATCATTCAATACTACAATACACGCCAACAAATAATGCAAGTGAAGAGAAGAAGTAGGAATTCTACAGACAACTGCAATCAATGCTAGACAAGACTCCACTGCAGTTGATGACATCAAAATTCTAATGTGTGGGGTGACATGAATGGCAAACTGGGAGGTGAGGACAACAGAGCACAGGAAGAGAACTCATCCATCATGGGTCGAGAAGCACTTGGTGAAATGAAAGAGAACGGAAAACTGTTTGCAGATTTCTGCACATCCAACGATTTGGTGATTGGAGGCTAGGCAGTGTGTACAAACACAATGATATTCACAAGACAGAGACATGGATTCGATTTCACCAGACACCGGGACACACTACACTGAAAATCAGATCGACTTTATGTGAATGTGAAGAAAGTGGAGATGTAGCCAGCCTACTGGACACAAGATCAGATGAAGAAGTGGGGGGTGGGGGTGGGGTGGGCAGATGTAGGTTCACACCACTCACTGTCTAGTACAAGGAACCTACCTTCCAAATCAAGTTGAAAGCCTTCAATTCAAAGAAGCTGGTGATAGATCACAGTTGAAGTTGAACACCCAGAACAGAAAGTGAACTGGAGGATGAAACTAGAGAGGACATCTTCACGTTAGCCATCAGAACAAAATGGGAGATGTCGAGAAACATCTCTGAATAAACCTGTGTGGATGAACACTGGAACTCTTTGGAAGCTATGTGGAAAGAAACCTGCATAAGTGTATCAAGAAGGAAGAGGAAACAAGACAAGGAATGGATGTTGATGGACACATGGAAGCTGACAGAAGAGGGAGAGGAGGATGATGAAGCAGAAGATAAACCAGTGCAAAGATGCACAATGAAAAGAAAAACTGAGTACAAAGTACATAACAATGGACAAAGAAGTGAAAAAGAGTGCACGCAAAGAAAAACACACCTGCAGGACACATTGGCAAGTGAAGTAGAACAGGCTGCTGGTAGGAGAGACAGAGAACTGACAACACTACATCAAATAACCAGATTACCATCTGGGAGGGAAGAGATCAATGCAAACGAAACCAATGACAGATAATGAAGGAAACCTAGTTACTGACAAACAGGAGAATCAAACGAAACAATGGACTGACCGCTTCAAAAAACTCTTGAATCGACCACCACCACCAGCACCACCAGCACCATCTGCAACTCGTCCACAAATACCATCAACAATGACAGAACTACCAGTGAACACAGGCCCTTCGACAAAAGCAGAAGTCCTGAATGCCATGAAACTGCTGAAATCCAGAGAAGCAGCAGAAGGACCAGATGGAATTCCACAAGAAGCATTGAAATCAGATGCAGAGACAATACCGGATATGCTCACACCACTAGTGCAGAAGGTTTGCAAGGAGGGAAGGAAGTAAGGAAAGGTACTTGTCTATTGATTAGAAGAAGGAATACCTTGTAAAACTCCCAAACAAGGGAGACATAAGCCTTTGCAAGAACAAGAACTGGTGCGGAATCATACTACTGTTCCTGTCCACCCCAAACAAAATATCAAGTTGCATCATCCTGGAGAGACTAAAGTATGCACTGGATTGAAAATCATGACCGGAACAGGCTGACTGACTGGCTGGCAGGCAGGCAGCAGCTGCTGCTTCAACACTTCGGTTTCCGTGCCACTAGTCTTTGTCAAACTCATTCAACAGCTATGTGAGGATGCCACATGCCAAGTGATCCACAATGCAAAGCTCAGTGACGCCTTCGAAGTGAAGACAGGAGATAGGAGTAAGACAAGGCTGCCACCTACTATCACCGATCATCTTGTTGATTGTGGTCGACGGGATTGGATCATGCAGCACACAACTGTGAGGAGTAGTGAGAAGATGGGCATACGCTGGCTGGACAGATGCGATGAAAAGACAACAGAAGAAGATTTGGACTTTGTCAACAATGATGATTTATGTTTAATGTGTTGTGGCACAAAACCGAAGATCTACAGGCGAACACTTACAAGTTGACAGAAGAGGAGAGGAGAGGTGAGGCTAGGCAGCGAAGGAAGACGGGACCTCAAGTGAATGTAGAGAAGACGGAGGTGATGAAGATACCCAACCAAGAACAACAAGAAGCTCCAATCACCATTAACGGGAGAAATTCGAAGGAAGTAGTCTCCCTCACCTACCTACCCATCTAAACCTACAACTACCTAGGCAAGGCAGCATCGTTTCAACTGCAGGTGGTGGTGGCGTTGGCGGCACAGACGAGGATGTCAAAGCAGTCAGGATCGGGAAGATAGCAAGACAGGTCTTCCCTCATTAGTCTGAAATCAGTGTGGAGATCGACTGCACTGCACTGCACTGTACTGCACTGAGCACAAATCCTGAACATCATCCGGATTTCCAACACTAATATCAATCAAGTCAGTGCTGCTATGTGATGGTTGAGAGAGTTGGCGTGTCACGAGAAGCATTTCCAACAAGCTACAGACATACATCACATCAACAGCTGCCCACGTTGGCTCGATACTGAAGATGGTGATCAGATGGATAGCCAGAAGGAATAAGCAACAATGAACTGTGGTTGGCGAGGAACCAATGAAGAACCTATCACCGAACGTGTATACAGAAGAAGAAATTGGAGATGGGTTGGGCTCACGCTTGGAGGGCCGACTGGGGAGGTCAGGTATCAGGCCAGACCAGGCCAGAGACTCGAGTTGAATGCAAAGGGGAAATGAAGAGTTGGTTGTGTGAGCGTGGGGTGACATGGGTGAGATGATGTGAGTAATAAATGAGAGTTTGTGGGTAGTGGTGGCGCTATTTTGGAAGGACTGTAGAGAAGAGAGTGTAATGGCGACGTGCTACTGAAGCCGTATATTCCACTTGGAACCCAGGGAAAAAAATAATCATAATCTGTGTTTGATATAAAATACTGATGAAGTCTCCTAGAGTAATGATTAAACGTCCAAGAAGAAAAACCTTACTGCTAGGAGAACACCAAACAAGTATCATCTTCATCCTAAAGTACAAATCTTCTCTACTATCTCATGAACATGAGG